GATCAAACCTCGCGCTGATCCTTCATCTCCCCCTTTTATTAGGCGGATTTCAGCATTTTGCTTTACTTTATCTCTGAATCTTTTTCGTTTCGCAAGGAAGCAACTGCTCTAATTTTATTCTATGTATATCATGAATTCTTTGCTTTATGTAAATTGATATTTGATGAAGGAGTATTTATTAGCAATTTGATTCGAGTGTTGTTTGCTCTCGAATCTTTTTTATTTGTCGAGAAATCAAGTGTAATAATTTTATTCTCCGCGTATCACGAATTCTTTCTGTTCTATAAATTAATATTCGAAGGAGTATTTATTAGCAATTTGATTCGAGTGTTGTTTGCTCTCGAATCTTTTTTATTTGTCGAGCAACAAACTGTTTTAATTTAATCTCCGCGTATCACGAATTTTTCCTTTCTATAAATGGATATTCGACGAAGGAGATTTACTTGTTAGCAATTTGATTCGAGTTTGCTCTCGAATCCTTTTCCTCCCACACCAAATCAGCTGTTCTAATCTCACCTTTGGTCTATTGATATTCAAGGAATTTAATATGTTACGAATTTCATTGTACTGGATCGGTAATCGATGGAACGAAAATACTTGTTAGCAATGTAATCCAAATATCGCGTAAAAGTAAATCGAATCTCTATTCCAGCTACTATATTTACTTTTAGCAATTTCTGTATAACTTGCTGACTTCATGTCTATTTCACCGCCTCCAAAAACTAACAACAGATACTAAACCTTTCCGATCGAGAGGTGACTCTCAGTCACTTGATTCGATACAGCGAAACTACGAAGTTGAATATTTAGTATTTTAAATTAAACTTTCTATCGCTATGTGAAATATTTAAATAAAACAGCTTTGTCGCTTAATCTGTGAATTTTCGTTAAATTAGTTTCGAACAATGTCGTCTATATCTCGAAAAATGTTAAATATTTCCAGTGAAAAACGTTCGAGTGCAAAGGGTTAAGTATAATTGACCTTATCACACTACAATCCATTAACAACGACAACACCGAGACTTTCAGTTGTTAATTGCTATTTATCAAAGCCCCATTAATAGACGCGTCTTCGACTCGTCCCATTTCCAGCGGCCATTAAAGCGGCCATTATCGCCTCGCAATTAACTTCTCCGCGAACGATCATCTCAATCTTCTCTCTAAATTTTACCATTATTACGCTTACCATTTAACAAAACCAACAACCACAACGAAGCTCGATACACACGCGATCCAGTGCGATTTCGATATTTGATTCGAGCTTTAATTCTCAACAGCCGAAGCTTCCGAATGAATTAATACGGCAAAGCCGGCGCCGCTATGCTTGACACGGTGTATAAATTAACCGAACACAGAGAAACTTTAATTAGTACAACAAATTTCATTTGCGGCCGTGTCCAGATGAGTTTTGCTTTCTGAATGGAAGTTGGATCTGACGGCCGAACGTTGGACGAGTAAAAGTGATGGGGAACGGCGTATTCTGGGTGAACTTTTCGTTCGAAAGTTAAATGTATTGTTCTGGCACTTGTGCGCATCAAAATTTCATCGCGAGCGTCGGGACGGTCGCTAAAAATATCAGTTTACCATCTCTTTAACAGTCTGAAGTAACCTCCACCGATTTCTAGACGCTATCCTCCGTTCAAATTTGAATTTGTGTATATTCCTTGGAATTTGAGGTTTCGAAGATTTTAAACTCTGTTCGTATATTATTGTGAATATTATTTATTTATAGTACGATTTTACCTTTTAACCGTTTGGCTGCTGACGGATTTTCTCATACAATAAACTCACTTATATTGCATTGCAACAAAAAAAATTTTTAAAAATACCATTTATTTACTTAAACTTGGTTTAATTCATTTTGTGAATAAAATTAGTAAAAACGCAGCCTTGGCATAACAAAAAAGGAGCGTTATCGTGCTTTTCGCAATTTTGGCAATCAAACGGTTAATCAAGGTTAAACATTGTCTTTCTCTTACCAATTATCAAAATAGAAATCTTTCGAAAACGAATTCTTCTGTTCCGTAATGAATAATTAGATCTCCAATGGAATCAATCGTAAAAGATATCAAAAAATAAACGCTAAGTTCATTCAGAATTAAAGGTATCGTATTTCTCTCACCAATATCTAATTATCAAAATAGAAATCTTTCGAAACAGAATTCTTCTGTTCCCTAAAAAAATAGATCTCCAACAGAATAAAAAAATAGACGCTAGCCAAACAAAGTGATCCATAATTCTACAATACCTCCTTCTCTCCGGAACTTGTACGCGAGCTGCGTCACTAGCTCTAACACCAGACTAAAATTAAAGCAACACACGTTCGTTATTGTCGAAGAAGTTAATAAAAACATCGACTAAAGAGGAAACGTGTCGATTGCCCGAGGCAGGGCACTGCGGAATTCGTTTCGCCCACGTTTCGCGGAGGAAATCCGGATCCTTGGATTGCATTCGTGTCAAAAGGCCGATTTCCGAATCGCTCGGAATGGAAACTGCGGCTTCTAACGCTGAAATCTTTCGATTTTCTCTTCGTATGTCCTTTCAGAGGCTTCCAGCTTGTTTTTTGCGAGAGTTGCGTGTTAATCCGATGCGCTGCCATTTCGCTGGGTAAAATTGAAGTTGGATCAAAGTGACTCGAGGAACAATCGTTAATCTGTTGTGCTCTAGTTTCGTTTGAGTAGGATATACCTAGGACAAAATGGCTGAAAATTATCGCGAGCAAGCATTTTATTCGCGTGGATGTCATTGCCGATGGCGCATCGAGTGACGATCCTTCGTTGTTAGCCAAGCGAAGAGGATTTTACACGAAGATCGGCTCTGAAGGGGTTGAAAGGCAGGTGCAAAGGGGAAACCGTTGATCCTACTTGTTGATTCCGCGCGGTCAAACGTCGCGACGCGAGAAGAGGAGTCGATTGCGCGCGATTACGACGTGCCCGACGAATCCCCAGGGACCGAGATGCTCGTCAAACTTGACTCTAGAGTCCTACTTGTTCCGAGTAATTAAGGAGAGCGATAACGCGCGCGAATTCCATGAAACTAGAGCCGCAAGCATCCAGTTGAGGGTTCATGCCTCGTTGAGCTGAAGAGCTCGCGAGGCTGCGTGATGTTTACTCGTCGGTGGTTTTGTTTATTAGCTTTATGAAAAAGAAGCTTGTTTGTTGCGTTTGTGGAAGATGATAGGTTGAGAGTATTGTTAATTGTGGGTGATTAGGGTGGATTCTAAGATTGAGATTTCATTATCTAGATTAATGGAATAAATGAAATAAATTAGTGGTATTATGAAATTGTTCTTTGTATATTCGTATGTATTGTATTAGGAATTTTATTATAGTTTGACAGATTTTTAGTGAACCAGAGCGAAACAAATCTCTTGTAGCGTTTCCCTAGAATTCTTCGGTTCTACCGAATTCTCTCTTAATACTGATTCTACAAGAATGAACCAACAAAAACGATAATATATGTAATATATTATAATATATATATTATTAATATAATATATAGAATGTATAATACTGCCCAGCTTTCTATACTTTTCGAAGAAACATCCCCAAACTTTCCATCTTCAGCTACACCGAAAAATTTTCAATTCCAACCTCCAATCACAATTTCTCAATTATCATTGCCAAGTCTCAAATCTAAAAAATTCCGAACAGCAACCCTCCACCACAATTTCCCCAAATCACCCAAACCTTCCATCTTCAG